CAATCACACTCCCATCAACTTGTCAATCACACTCCCATCATCTTGTCAATCACACTCCCATCAACTTGTCAATCACACTCCCATCATCTTGTCAATCACACTCCCATCATCTTGTCAATCACACTCCCATCATCTTGTCAATCACACTCCCATCAACTTGTCAATCACACTCCCATCATCTTGTCAATCACACTCCCATCAACTTGTCAATCACACTCCCATCATCTTATCAATCACACTCTGATCATCTTGTCAATCACACTCCCATCAACTTGTCAATCACACTCTGATCATCTTGTCAATCACACTCCCATCATCTTATCAATCACACTCCCATCATCTTGTCAATCACACTCCCATCATCTTGTCAATCACACTCCCATCATCTTGTTAATCACATTCATCACCAAGTCCCATGTAGAGATTAAACAAAATTAAATTTAGTTCCCTTAACATATCCTCGTAGTTTAATCCTCTTAGTACTAGCACAAATCTTTTTTTTTTAAATGTTAGTTTTGTTCTTCACAAGGCATTGAGCTGCATATCCCAGTATTGGCGTAACAGTTGAACATAAGAACATAAGAACATAAGAACAAAGGTAACTGCAGAAGGCCTATTGGCCCATACGAGGCAGCTCCTATCTATAACCACCCAATCCCACTCATATACATGTCCAACCCGCGCTTGAAACAATCGAGGGACCCCACATCCACCACGTTACGCGGCAATTGGTTCCACAAATCAACAACCCTGTTACTGAACCAGTATTTACCCAAGTCTTTCCTAAATCTAAACTTATCCAATTTATACCCATTGTTTCGTGTTCTGTCTTGTGTAAAGATTGGTTGTTGTAAGATTGCTTTGGAAAAGTATTAATTTAGGTTAATAAACGCCGTTCTAATGTTTGCCAGCTATCTTGAGGTTATCTTGAGGTTATCTTGAGATGATTTTGGGGCTTTTTAGCGTCCCCGCGGCCCGGTCCTCGACCAGGCCTCCACCCCCAGGAAGCAGCCCGTGACAGCTGACTAACACCCAGGTACCTATTTTACTGCTAGGTAACAGGGGCATAGGGTGAAAGAAACTCTGCCCATTGTTTCTCGCCGGCGCCTGGGATCGAACCCAGGACCACAGGATCACAAGTCCAGCCTGCTGTCCGCTCGGCCGACCGGCTCCCTTATACTGCCCATAATACTCTGTTTATGTGCGAATTGTGTTTGTGTTGGAATTTTGTGCACTATTTCATTTCTCCTGAGATTCTCTCTCCCTTCCAGTCTTCGCCACTTTACACTTGTTGGGAGTCAAACAACTGTTTATTTGCCTACTCGTGGAGTGTGTGAAGTTCTTCCTGTAACTTTCTGCAGTACTCCTCGATTTTTGCATTCATTAGTTTTGGGTGCAATGACGTGTACGAGCTCACTCCGTCAGAGTGATCAATCACATCAATTAGGAACGGCAGTGGTCGTAGACCCGAGGCCTGGGGAACCTCACATCACCAACCTGTCTTCTTTATTGCAGCCCGTTCTCTTGATTTGCCACAATGATCAAAATACACAGTGCTAACCTGTGTATTTTGAGGTATAAACCTAACCTGAGCCCCACAAGCAGGAGCCCCACAGTGCTGGTGGTGCTCCTGCTGCTGCTGCTGCTGTTGTTGGTGTTGGTGCTCCTGCTGCTGCTGTTGTTGGTGCTGGTGGTGCTCCTGCTGCTGCTGTTGTTGGTGCTGGATGTGCTCCTGCTGCTGCTGTTGTTGGTGCTGCTGGTGCTCCTGCAGCTGGTGCTGGCGCTCCTGCTGCTGTTGGTGTTGGTGCTCCTGCTGCTGCTGTTGTTGGTGCTGGTGGTGCTCCTGCTGCTGCTGTTGTTGGTGCTGGATGTGCTCCTGCTGCTGCTGTTGTTGGTGCTGCTGGTGCTCCTGCAGCTGGTGCTGGCGCTCCTGCTGCTGCTGCTGTTGGTGTTGGTGCTCCTGCTGCTGCTGTTGTTGGTGTTGGTGCTCCTGCTGCTGCTGTTGTTGGTGTTGGTGCTCCTGCTGCTGCTGCTGTTGGTGTTGGTGCTCCTGCTGCTGCTGCTGGCGCTCCTGCTGCTGCTGCTGTTGGTGCTCCTGCTGCTGGTGCTGGCGCTCCTGCTGCTGCTGCTGTTGGTGCTCCTGCTGCTGCTGCTGCTGGTGCTGGCGCTCCTGCTGCTGGTGCTGGCGCTCCTGTTGCTGGTGCTGGCGCTCCTGCTGCTGCTGCTGTTGGCGCTCCTGCTGCTGGTGCTGGCGCTCCTGCTGCTGCTGCTGTTGGCGCTCCTGCTGCTGCTGCTGCTGGTGCTGGCGCTCCTGCTGCTGCTGCTGCTGCTGGTGCTGGCGCTCCTGCTGCTGGTGCTGTTGGCGCTCCTGCTGCTGGTGCTGTTGGCGCTCCTGCTGCTGCTGCTGCTGCTGTTGGTGCTCCTGCTGCTGGTGCTGGTGCTCCTGCTGCTGGTGCTGGCGCTCCTGCTGCTGGTGCTGTTGGTGCTCCTGCTGCTGCTGTTGTTGGTGCTGCTGGTGCTCCTGCTGCTGGTGCTGGCGCTCCTGCTGCTGGTGCTCTTGGTGTTGGTGCTCCTGCTGCTGCTGTTGTTGGTGCTGCTGGTGCTCCTGCTGCTGGTGCTGGCGCTCCTGCTGCTGGTGCTGCCGCTCCTGCTGCTGCTGTTGTTGGTGCTGCTGGTGCTCCTGCTGCTGGTGCTGGCGCTCCTGCTGTTGGTGCTGGTGGTGCTCCTGCTGCTGCTGTTGTTGGTGCTGCTGGTGCTCCTGCTGCTGGTGCTGTTCCTGCTGCTGCTGCTGCTGTTGTTGGTGCTGCTGGTGCTCCTGCTGTTGGTGTTGGTGCTCCTGCTGTTGGTGCTGGCGCTCCTGCTGCTGCTGCTGTTGGTGTTGGTGCTCCTGCTGCTGCTGTTGTTGGTGCTGTTGGTGCTCCTGCTGCTGCTGTTGTTGGTGTTGGTGCTCTTGCTGCTGCTGTTGTTGGTGCTGTTGGTGCTCCTGCTGCTGCTGCTGTTGGTGTTGGTGCTCCTGCTGCTGCTGTTGTTGGTGCTGCTGGTGCTCCTGCTGCTGCTGTTGTTGGTGCTGCTGGTGCTCCTGCTGCTGGTGCTGGCGCTCCTGCTGCTGGTGCTGTTGGTGCTCCTGCTGCTGCTGCTGTTGTTGGTGTTGGTGCTCCTGCTGCTGCTGCTGCTGTTGGTGCTGGTGGTGCTCCTGCTGCTGCTGTTGTTGGTGCTGCTGGTGCTCCTGCTGCTGCTGTTGTTGGTGCTGCTGGTGCTCCTGCTGCTGGTGCTGGCGCTCCTGCTGCTGCTGCTGTTGGTGCTCCTGCTGCTGCTGTTGTTGGTGCTGGTGGTGCTCCTGCTGCTGCTGTTGTTAGTGCTGCTGGTGCTCCTGCTGCTGGTGTTGGCGCTCCTGCTGCTGCTGCTGTTGTTGGTGCTGCTGGTGCTCCTGCTGCTGCTGTTGTTGGTGCTGGTGGTGCTCCTGCTGCTGCTGTTGTTGGTGCTGCTGGTGCTCCTGCTGCTGCCGTTGTTGGTAGCTGCTGCTCCTGCTGCTGCCGTTGTTGGTAGCAGCTGCTCCTGTTGCTGCCGTTGTTGGTAGCTGCTGCTCCTGTTGCTGCCGTTGTTGGTAGCTGCTGCTCCTGTTGCTGCCGTTGTTGGTAGCTGCTGCTCCTGTTGCTGCCGTTGTTGGTGCTGCTGGTGCTCCTGCTGCTGGTGTTGGCGCTCCTGCTGCTGCTGTTGTTGGTGCTGCTGGTGCTCCTGCTGCTGCTGTTGTTGGTGCTGGTGGTGCTCCTGCTGCTGCTGTTGTTGGTGCTGCTGGTGCTCCTGCTGCTGCTGTTGTTGGTGCTGCTGGTGCTCCTGCTGCTGCTGTTGTTGGTGCTGGTGGTGCTCCTGCTGCTGCTGTTGTTGGTGCTGGTGGTGCTCCTGCTGCTGCTGTTGGTGCTGTTGTTGGCGCTTATGCTGCTGCTGTTTGTGTTGTTAAAACGTCTGTGGCTCTGATAGTTTTCACTGATATATTGATTCTGTAAATCTTTTACTTTTCCTCTTCCTGATATTTCCGCTGGCGGGCCTCCCTCCTACTCCGTCTCCTCTCCGTCTCCTCTCCGTCCTCCGCTGTTCTCACCACCTCTCAGCCTGGCTAAGGGCCAGACAGGCTTTGGAAATCAGCAGGAAATTTATGTTGCTAATAATTCTTCCTCTGCCCACTCACTACCGCCACTCTGTTGCAGACGCTCCTCCTACTGTCTTAATGTTCCTACGTGTTCTCTCTCTCTCTCTCTCTCTCTCTCTCTCTCTCTCTCTCTCTCTCTCTCTCTCTCTCTCTCTCTCTCTCTCCTGTTGTGTGCGTCGTGTATTTCTATACTGTCAAATACAACCAGTTGTGTGTCATGCAATATTCGACATGAGGTTTATGAATGCAAAATGTGTAAATGCACATGCTAACTTATATTTATATTTACTTAAACTCTTGTGAATAATGCTGGAGTATGAATTTGACTGCCATAAACTACTGAATAGGTAGTAATACAAACAGCTCGCGAGGCGAGGCGAGGGGGGGGGGAGATGGATTTGTTTACTTTTAGTCTGTACTTAAAAAAAAGTACAGCATATGAGAGGCTTTTAAAGGATTGAATTACAGCACTTCTTCTCACATAATGCATTTAAATGATGACACTCGACTACAACGGTAAAATTCCAGTGCTTTATTAAACATGGAATGCACCGCAATACTGACGTTTCCCCTCGGGATAATGAGTAGCGGTCATTGTAAGACTGAAGAGAATGTCAAGCACTGAGAAGGCACTTCTGGAAGTGTCTGGAAAGTGACAGTCCTTGACAGGCAAGAGGTTCCAGGACAGGTGAAGGTTTCCAGAAAATGTAATGTTTTCCAGGAAAAATAGAAGCTTCCAGGAAAGGTCGAAGTTTCAGGACGCTGAAAGTTTTCAGAACAACGCAGCAAGAGGACAACAGAACGCTGCAAGAGGACAACAGAACGCTGCAAGAGGACAACAGAACGCAGCAAAATGACAACTGAACGCAGCAAAATGACAACTGAACGCAGCAAGAGGACAACAGAACGCAGCAAAATGACAACAGAACGCAGCAAGAGGACAACAGGAGGCAGCAAGAGGACAACAGAACGAAGAGCAAGACGAAGACCCCAGGAGGACGAAGACCCAGGAGGACGCAGCAGGACGAAGACCCAGGAGGACGCAGCAGGACGAAGACCCAGGTGGACGCAGCAGGACGAAGACCCAGGTGGACGCAGCAGGACGAAGACCCAGGTGGACGCAGCAGGACGAAGACCCAGGAGGAAGCAGCAGAACGAAGACCCAGGAGGACGCAGCAGGACGAAGACCCAGGAGGACGCAGCAGGACGAAGACCCAGGAGGACGCAGCAGAACGAAGACCCAGGAGGACGCAGCAGAACGAAGACCCAGGAGGACGCAGCAGGACGAGGACCCAGGAGGACGCAGCAGGACGAAGACCCAGGATGACGCAGCAGGACGAAGACCCAGGAGGACGCAGCAGGACGAGGACCCAGGAGGACGCAGCAGGACGAAGACCCAGGAGGACGCAGCAGGACGAAGACCCAGGAGGACGCAGCAGGACGAGGACCCAGGAGGACGCAGCAGGACGAAGACCCAGGAGGACGCAGCAGGACGAGGACCCAGGAGGACGCAGGAGGGCGAAGACCCAGGAGGACGCAGCAGAACGAGGACCCAGGAGGACGCAGCAGGACGAAGACCCAGGAGGACGCAGCAGGACGAGGACCCAGGAGGACGCAGCAGGACGAAGACCCAGGAGGACGCAGCAGGACGAAGACCCAGGAGGACGCAGCAGGACGAGGACCGAGGAGGACGCAGCAGGACGAAGACCCAGGAGGACGCAGCAGGACGAGGACCCAGGAGGACGCAGCAGGACGAAAACCCAGGAGGACGCAGCAGGACGAAGACCCAGGAGGACGCAGCAGGACGAGGACCCAGGAGGACGCAGGAGGACGCAGCAGGACGAGGACCCAGGAGGACGCAGCAGGACGAAGACCCAGGAGGACGCAGCAGGACGAGGACCCAGGAGGACGCAGCAGGACGAAGACCCAGGAGGACGCAGCAGGACGAAGACCCAGGAGGACGCAGCAGGACGAAGACCCAGGAGGACGCAGCAGGACGAAGACCCAGGAGGACGCAGCAGGACGAGGACCCAGGAGGACGCAGCAGGACGAAGACCCAGGAGGACGCAGCAGGACGAGGACCCAGGAGGACGCAGCAGGACGAAGACCCAGGAGGACGCAGCAGAACGAAGACCCAGGAGGACGCAGCAGAACGAAGACCCAGGAGGACGAGGACCCAGGAGGACGCAGCAGGACGAAGACCCAGGAGGACGCAGCAGGACGAGGACCCAGGAGGATGCAGCAGGACGAGGACCCAGGAGGATTACTGGTCACTCGCAAGAAACAACGGCTGACCTGAACGTTTCAAGGGAAAATAATGCTAAGAAAGTCTTTTATCCGATATAAAACCTGAAGAAATGACGCTGAAGACCGCTGAGAGAAAATAAACTTCATTAAAAAGTAACTGCCCTCCCACCCAGAGGCAAATAGCCTATCCTCCATCTAAGCAATTCCCAAATCTTCCTCGAGCGTCTAACAATGAGGGTGTACCTTCCTCCCCCCCCTCCTCGTCGTGCCGGAAGGGAAGGCTTATGAAATATGTATCCCAGACAACATTTGTCACGGGGCCTTCCTGCCACAGTCTTAACACAGCGTCTTATCACAGCCGCAAGGACCTGGCGCGCCCCCTGCCGTCATAAGCCACGCTAACACGGCCTTAACACAGCAATATACGCCGTACGAACACTTCGTCGGGGAACGAAGCCAGACCTCCCCAGTCAAGCCATTTTTCAACATCCAGTTTTCATCATGAGAAGCAGCCGTTTTTATTTTGTGTGTTGAGGCAGGGCAAACTGTGCTATGAATATGATATGAAGGCACATCGCTTCACGTGCTCTGCTGCTCGGTTACGTCGGTGAGATCACCCCGAGGAGAGAGAGAGGGGGAGAGAGAAGGGGAGAGGATGAGGGAGAGAGGAGAGAGAGAGAGAGAGAGAGAGAGAGAGAGAGAGAGAGAGAGAGAGAGAGAGAGAGAGAGAGAGAGAGAGAGAGAGAGAGAGAGAGAGAGAGAGAGAGAGAGAGAGAGAGAGAGAGAGAGATGAAAGAATAGGAAGATTCCGTTTGTCTAACAACCTATAATTACCCACCAAAAGACGATGAGTGCCATTTTTACCTCCTACAACCCTCTCCGCCCACCAAACATTACCTTTCACCTCCACCACGGAATCCCTCCAGTCCACCCCCCACCCCCGCTCCACCCAGAATCTCCAATAGTAATAGGTATGCACAATACAATACAATAAACTATTAATATATTCGAGATCACTAATACAATCACCGAGAAAGTTGTCAACGCAATTCATGGCTACATCCTGATGCAAGCACCGTGGGAATCGTTGCCAGCAGACTCTAAGATAATGGCTCTTCAAAGAAAAGACTCAGAATTACCCTCATATGCTATGCATCATTTCACAGATGTTTTCAATACAGAAACCAACTCGGTATCTGACAGCTTCACATACTTCCCAGACGGATCAGTAGACCAGGAGACAAGCATCTGGAGCTGCAGTTAAGGCAGGAAATGGTAGTTAATTAGAGCCCAAACGGTGCTCTGCTTTACATGCTGGAAACCGCCGACACGTCATCGTACAGACACATGCGAGAACTGTCAGTGAAACCTTGCAGAAAGGACACTTGTGACAATATCCATCAGTTAACTAGATGGATATTGGACAGGTGTGTGTTAAGGCCCGTGGACAGGTGTGTGTTGAGGCCCGTGGATAGGTGTGTGTTAAGGCCCGTGGACAGGTGTGTGTTGAGGCCCGTGGACAGGTGTGTGTCCATACACAGTTTCAAATGTAGATTTGATAGAGCCCAGTAGGCTCAGGAATCTGAACACCAGTTGATTGAGCCAAAGCTCAACCCCCGCAAGAACAACTAGGTGAGTACACATCTGTCCACGGGCTTCAACACACACCTGTCCACGGGCCCTCAACACACACACACCTGTCAACGGGCCACAACACACACACCTGTCCACAGCCCTCAACACACACCTGTCCACGGGCCTCAACACACACACACCTGTCCACGGCCCTCAACACACACCTGTCAACGGGCCACAACACACACCTGTCCACGGGCCTACACACACCTGTCCACGGGCCTCAACACAAACCTGTCCACGGGCCTCAACACACACCTGTCCACGGGCCTCAACACACACCTGTCAACGGGCCACAACACACACCTGTCAACGGGCCACAACACACACCTGTCCACGGGCCTACACACTAACACCCCACCTAGTGAATCTTCGGCCCCGATAAAATAAACAATAATGTAGTTTTACCTGTTTTTAATTTGGCATCGAGGAGCGAGTTTACTGGGCAGCGTCACTCATGCTATGATTGAATATACCGCCAGAGTGACAGTTTATCAGGCAGTGTCACTCATCCTTTGAGTGAACATACCGCCATAGTAACGGTATTGGGCAGCGTCACCCATCTTATGAGTGCACACTTAATTAAGTGAGCTGGGACTCGCTCAACCGTCTCAAGTGAATAGATTGCCAAACAAGGTGATTAACAGTTGCCAGCCCTCAGACTTAAGTGATGTTTCTTGTTGAAAGCTATGACAACTTTTAAGGACATTGTCTATATTTGACAATGTTTTCCTGAGTGAAACAATGTGAGATTTATGTTGTTGTTGTTTAAGATTCGCTACCTGGAACAAAAAGTTCCAAGTAGCACGGGCTATGGTGAGCCCGCAGTAGAGATTTATGATACAGTACATAATTTTGATCTTTCACAGTAGAACTGTCCCTCGGGCAGTGTCCTGGTGTTGTTCTGTTCTGGTTTCCTCGTCTACCTTGCCAATATAATGCTTCGTGAAGATGTCTTTGATATGAAGAAGCTGGGAGATGACTTGTTAATATGGTCTCCAACTACAGCCTAAGCAGCCAACACGTCTGATCATTCACTCTCACAAACAACAAACCACAAAATATATTGAACAGATCGCTAACTTTGTCTATGCAAGACACACGAGAATGTATGCTAGTTAGCATTGTACAAGCGCTTCAAACACCTGTGTCTGAGTGCTCACTTTACTATATGTCTAACGCATCTCTTACCCTGCCCATGAAGGACTGAAGAAAATGTATATATGCTGGTTACCATTGTAAATGTGTGGCCACCTCTGTGGTAGAAAATAAAATAAACAAATCCTCTAAATTCAGGTTCCTGTGAATCCTATGATACGATTCATTAGAACCTGAAAACCCGTCGTTGATCTGTTACTATTCCTTCAGTTATCTTTGCTTTGATTGGTTGATGTTTCTTCAGTTCTGTTTGCTTTAATTAATGTTTCCTCAGCTCTCTTGATTGTCCTTGTTTTCTATCTGGTTTTTTTTTCTAAGAATTTGGTGCGTGTGTGTCGAGTCAGTGCAACTTAACACTCCCCCCATGTACCTCCTGCTATGTTTTTCAGTCATGACAATTACTGCTGCCCCCAATGAGCAAACATGGTTCTCAGTTTGGGTTTTTCCTCTTTTTCAAATTAGACATTTTTTTTTGGCCATTATAATATATGCTACTCTAAGCCCTGTCATTAGTATGATTTGCAGAGTTATCTGTGAACATTTTATACTATTTAAATTCTGCCTTTTTATTTATTTATTTAAAATTCATGTGGCTCCATTATTGTTACAATATGATGGATATCACTGACATCTCATTTATTTGATTTTTACATGGTTCGTTGCTGACGGTGTCATAGTCCTTACAGGTATGGACTCATTAGCTTGTTAGTTCATGGACGCTGCATACTGATAGATCCTAATTCTATGACCTATTTTTATTTCGTCCTATAATTACTACAGAGCTAAAAATGTTTGTATCAATAATATTATAACGACGTCCTTCGGCAATTTTATTGCAAAGTTGTCATCCAATTCCTTGATCTGTTTTGAACATCAAACTCACGTAGTTCTTGTCATAGAGACCATGTTCCTGCAGTCTTCTGGACTGCTCGAATGATTTTCATGGCATCACTTAGTATGCTTTCAAGGTTCTTCATCTCAGTAGAAGAGCGTGTGGAGAAGTGGAGCTGCATAGTCTGTAGCGGACCAAACTGATGCTGTAAACAGGATATTTAGTAAGGCAATGGATGCATTATGACTATGCCAGGACATAGCTGTCAGGCCTCCAGGGGACTTTTGAGTCTCTCTAAGTTGGTCATTTTCTCTTTTATTCCCCTACGATAACCGATAATTTTCCCAAGGCTTACTACCACTTAATTGGAAAGTCATCATTTTCTCTCCTCTTGCGATGATCGTATGCTTTTGTCTTCACATGTTGATTGAGTAAAGCCAAGTTCAATACCTTTCCTCAAAGAAATTAACTGAATTGCATCACTTTTTCAAAGATTGGTATTGGTATGAGGACATCATCTCCATATGATATCCTCATACCAATGAGGACATCAGTGAGGGAGGGGGGGGGGCGGGAGTGAGAGTAGAGAAGGAGCAGAGTTACAAGTGATGGAGAAAGTTTAAGAAATATGGAACATAATTTATGAAACTCTCAGTATTAGACCTAATTATGGTGTGTATTATGCCTAGGATTTCCAGGAGAGGTTACCTTGTACTTAGTAACCTTGTAATGGTTTCGGGGCTTAGCGTCCCCGCGGCCCGGTCCTCGCCCAGGCCTCACCCATGAGGTTAGGTGAGGTTCTAGATTTACGTTGCGGTTAAAAAAAAAAACTGATCTTAGTACAAAGTCAATATTACAAAGGTAAGGGAACTATTAGGAGAAAGCGCCAAGTCATTACGACTATATAACACTTGGAAGGGATCAGGATAAGGCTTTGGGACGGGACGGGGGGGGGGTTGAAGGAATGGATAATATAAAACAAAACGTCATCTTTTGTTACGGTCCATCACTATACATATTGGGACCTTCCGCCAAATAATTACTGTAAGTACTAGCTGTGGAGGCGGTTGGGCTTCGTCACTCACGTAGACCTCTGGTGAGGCAATAGAGGGTAACACAATATTATAACAACTGTGTGTAAAAGACATGTGATATAGAGCCAGGCCGCTCACCTGTGCTCGTTCAACTACAGAATAAACTATATTGTATAATAGATCAAATGGCGCAGACAACTTATATAAATGCTACGGATAATTGATATAAATCGCGTATTGCAACTTTTATAAACGGCGAAGGTACCGTATATACATGGAACAGGGGACTTATATAACTGGCATGAGTAACTTATATACATGGTGCAGGCAAATTACATACAAGGCGGAGGGGGGGAGAGGGTTCCCTTTTCTGAAAACTTGTACCCGACCCACTGGTTAATAAAGTTCGTCCGAAGTTAGTAAATAATTCACAGTGTGCA